TTTTTACTTCAGAAAGCCTGACAATACTACTGGAGCATAAAGTGCCAACCTCAAACTGGTATCATGGAACTGTAATAGTCCCAGGGAAAAACAAATTACTGAAATGGCAGTAACTGCATCATCACACAGACAACTGGCATTACAAAGTCTGGCTTTTAGTTATTCCCAGTTCCGCTACCATGAGTCACTTGGTCCCTAACCATTTTGGATGAATGCAAGTGAAATCTGCCTTCTCTGAAATAAGACCAAGCACCATGAAATAAGACATTACAGCAGAAACGTAACAACACATTCAATCACTGTCTGGCTCTTCCTGCTCATTTCCAGGAAATTTTGAAGCATCAGGGCAGAAAAATACTGTGCAGGACACTGAAGAAATCTCACTATAATGTCAAACCCATGATCCATGTATACTGAAACAAAAATGTTAGCATGAAAAAGTCTGAAATACTTGCATTTAATTAAAAAGTGCCCACCTGTTCTGCTTATGATTTAAAAGCTGTCAGATTGAGTCCTCCTAACAGCTTTTAAACTGTCTTCCTGGAAACTAAATATCACAAGGCTATACAGCAGAAGCCTGTACGCTATTCTGCTACTTTAATCAATTTCTGAGCATTCAAGAGACAGACTATGTGGTTAAACTGATACAAAACTCTAAACACCTTCTTAAATAAGAAGGGACATTAGGCTGGATTATTCCAAACCTAAAGCTGACTCATCACATGACCATGGGCATGTTACTTGACCTCCCTATGCATTCAGTAATGCATCTGGAACAGTGTAATGGCAACACCTCAGTGACTGAGCAGCATCTCACTTTCAGTCCTCAACGAGTAACCAAGGTGTGCCCAAACTGCATAAAGTCAGTAATATCCATACAGAAACTGCTATACTGTACAGGCTCTACTCACACTGATAAGACATGTGAAGAGGAACACTAACAAGTGGGAATCAGCAACCACAAAGTTTAAATTCTAACCCTAGCAGTAACACTGAAGAAGTGACAGTCACTCCAGCCTACCTCAGAGATGTACTCTGTTATGAGAAAGCAACTGCAAAGGCTAATATTTACACTGTATGCACATTTTCAGCTACAGTCTCTTTCCTCCAGTTTTCTTCTTGCTCAGAATTGCACACTTGCAGATGTTGCATTTCAGACCTCAAGTCACAGGCTCAAGACTGCATTATGCATTAAAGACCTGGAACAAAGATGCGACAGAAAGACAACACGGATCACCACGAAAACAGTACTAAGTTCCCTGCAGCAATATTTGCTGCCACAGATTCTGGTGTCATAACAGTTCAGATGATTCCAAGTTACAGAGCTAAAACTCAAGGCACAAGCATCGGTTCTCTCTTGAACTTCATGTACTGGAAAATGAAAACAAAAGTGGTTTCTTTGTGAACCGCAGGTTATCTTGACACGCATTATGTACGACACAGCTTTAACCCAGAGCTCTCTCCCAGCACTATGCCCATCCCCCTCTCCTGTTCCTTCATTTTTGGTTCCCCATTTCTACCAGTAACATTCAAGCTAGCAAAGAATTTCAAGTTTTAGTACTTATTTTCTAGAGCACTTGCTCTAAGGAGTTAAACACTTGCAACTGTGGTATTTAGATCTTCACTCTGATCTAGTAAATGTGTTATTAAATCTGCTGCTCAGTTTCTGTCAATGTTTACAGCTTTCCAAGTTATTTAGTCAACTGCAGATAAAAAACACAGAAGCTGCGATTGACCATAGACCTAATTCTGTCAGAAAGTCCCATCAATATGCTAACTTTGAAATGTTACAGAAAATTAAAGCCAGGTTGCTTGAAACTGTTTAGTAATTTGAAAAGTTTCCAAAGCTTTAACTGGGGGTGATGTTCCAGTCAGAGGGTAATGAGGCAGATGTGCATGCTCAGCCTGCAGACACTTTTGCAGTGTGGTACGCAGAGACTCCCATCTCATTAACAGATGTTTACATGAGATGTTGATATACATGTGGGTCATAGATGGCACATACATCCCTGGTGGAACAGGGAGCTGACATGCAATGGGGTGAACAAGATCAAGGCAAGGCAAAGAAGCCAGCATTTTAAAGGTAAACATACAGCATGCAGATGTGAGATCAGGACGATCAAAGCAACTACTTCTTGTTGCTCTGGCCAAGTTACATCAACTTATCTACCTAACACTCAGTGTTCAAAGCCCCTCATGGCTCTCCATATTTACTCTTTGTTCATCCAGCCTTACCTCACTAATCCCCCCTTGTCCACGCTGTCACTGTCAGTGTGATCTGCTCATTTGTCAAATGTACATAAACATCCTTCTCACCTCTCTTACCAGCTAGAGCATGTATGACTACTCCACATCAACTGTTCTCAACTGATTTGTGGTCGGCCTCGGGTTCCTTCCCTCTTCCCTCCATAGCACCCAGCTTAATGTATCCACTCATTTCCCAACTTGTTTGTGCACTGCAGCCCCCATGTGTTTATCAAGTAGCAGCCCCCATGTGTTTATCAAGTGCACGCACAGGTGGTCAAGCTGTAAGGCAATGCACGTGTAAATGTGTAAGACCACAGTCCTTTCCTCTTCCTGATTTCTCAGGAATTTCTCATTGCACCTCTTCACGATGCCAACTAGCAATTAGGCTGAAGAGCAAACAGAAATAGTCTACACATTATAATTAAAAATTGAAGTGTTATTAAAAATGAGTCAGAACTGTTATCCTCATACTTGAGGATAAATACCAGCTGCCCAGACTCACGTACTACCTTCCATCACCCGCACTGTTCCTCCTCTTAATCCCCTAGACAAAACACCAGTGTTACTGGTGTACCAGAACCACAGAAAGCAGTATTTTATTAGCATTAATAGCCACATAACTACCCCCTTTGGAGCTTCTTTTGCCAGCACCAGACTGCTCCAGATAACTAGACGTGAGAAAGACTCAGAAAATGATGCTTAAGACAGATTGCCATTGGACAACTGAGTTCATCTCACTGCTTTTGTATCGTGCTTGTATATGGGGAGAGATGCTTGGACTTAGCAAACATCTGACAAGCTGCTGCCCTTGGAGCCCATCACAAACCTGTTCCCTCTGCAAAGGCAGTGCTTCCCTCCTCCTGGTCAAAGGGAATCTGCCCTGTTGTGCCTGACTTTCAGCTCTTCTATCACAGAAACAGCAATTACAGGTGTTAACTAGGGCAGAAGAACCACAAGATGAAGACCTCAAAAAAGCACTATACCCAGTTTCCACCTCAAGATCAAACATCAAGTTTCTGAATAGACTTCAGCAACTTTAAGAAAAGCTTTTTACATTCACCGTTTGTTTGATGTTCTAAGGACAGAGCTATTACAAGCTGTACCTGAAATTTCGCCTTGAAACTGTAAATAAGCTATTATTTGGTTTTGAGCTTGACAAATACCAGGCAAGACTTAAAACCAAATAAAAACTTAGGGAGGAGGGGGGCTTAAGAGAAATTTTACATTTTTAAAGAGATGCTCAAGGACTCAAAGATTCACTACTCATTCATGTTAAAAGCTAAAATCATTTGCCCATGAAAGAACAAACATCCAGTATCAAACAGGATTGACTTATCTGGCATCATCTCTACACACACCTTTTTTCAGCCTTTTAAATGCTGCTAGGTACTTTGTGCTGGTTTAAAGTGTGTGACTATTACAACCAAGACTTTGTTTAACTAAGTTATTGCAGTTACAGCTTCATGAAAGCAGCTACAAATGTTAATACAAGTAGCCTGGTTCCACTATTTACAAACAAAGACATAAATACAACTAGATGCTGCTTTACAAATACGTAAGCTCTCCCTACCAACTACACAATGTAAACCTAAAAAAAACCACCCGGAAGTTTTTCAAAATGCAGCCTTTTGAGTAGTTGCCAAATAACCCGGATACAAAGAGAGTTACAGTATCTGAACTGGGGAAATGCTTAAATTTTACAAGTCTGCTCAGGTTGCCTTTTTCCATTTTACAAAGAACAAGTAGCACAGTTAAATTTTATATTCTCTCTGGATAGCTGTGTGGCTCAAAGCCACATCTGCAACCCATCAGACATCAGTAGCTCAAGGGGACCTCAGACTCGATAGGCAAGGAGCAACTTGAACTCTTTTTCCGCATGAAATATATATTCCCACATCATCCAAGGTAAACAAAGAAGCAGAAAGACTAGAGAAGCATAAACTGGAGCAGTTACATGCCTCGCTTTTCAGCAGTTTTTCTCCAAACAGTTAACACTACTCCATATATGATCCCACAGTGCAACACCCAAGTCCTCTAATCACAGAATCAGCTGGGTTGCAAAAGACCCTGAAGCTCATCAAGTCCAACCGTTCCCCAGCACCGCCAAGGCCACCACTAACCTATGCCACTGAGGGCTTCATCGACACGGTGTGTGAACGCTTCCAGGGCTAGTGACTCCACCACTGAGTCCCCACTGAGCCTTCTCTTCCCCAGACCAAACACTCCCAGGTCCCTCAGCCCTTCCTCATCACAATTACGCTCTAGGCCCTTCACCAGATTCGCTGCCCTTCTTCGGACTCCTCCAGCACCTCAGTGTCTCCCTTGTAATAAAGAACCCAGAGGGGACCGTCCCTCTTGTAGTGAGGGAGTTCACAGTGCCCAGAAATTGCTCCCAGGAGCTGGGGCACAGCTCTCACCGCTGCGTGGCTTCAAAGCGGCGGCTCGGCGGGTCTCCCGCGCCCCGGCACCGCACGGCCCGAGATGGAGGTCACCGCTTACCGGCGCCCGAAGCCAGCCACCGGGCACCCCGCGCTCCCGAAGCCCTTGGCTTGGCGCAGCCAGGACCGCGGCCTTCCCAGTTCCCAACACCGCCGGCACCGGAGCTGGACAGAGGATGGAGGGAGAGCAGTAGCAGCCAACCGCCCGCGCAACAGCGGGGATAACGGCAGCGGCCGGGCCCGGCCCGGCCCGGCCCGGCCCGGCCCCTCCGAAGCGCGCAGGGGACCAGCCCTGTCCGCGCCGGCTGCACTCACCTGTAGGACGCGGGGCCCCGCTGCCGTCCCCACCGAGCCGCAGCAGCCGGGCATGGACGGACAGAACGAGCCAGGTCTGAGCCGCGCCGCCGTCGCCCCCCCCCCCCCCACCACTGCCTCACAGAATGTCACCGAGGCCGCGGATCCGCGTGCGGCGTCACTTCCTCCCACAGCGGGAGCACCGAGAGCCGCGCAGAGCGGCCGCCGGCCCACAGCGCCACCGCCGGCGCCCTGAGGGGAACACGGAGGTACCGCACCGAGAGCGACACCGGTGAAGAGGAGTGAGGGGCCGGGGCTTTGTGAGGGGCTCGGCGGCGGCTGAAGAAGGAGCTGGAAGGGTGGGTAATCTACCGGCTAACGGCGCACCGTGTTATCTGGTGTCATAGAACGCTCTGTAAGGGACCTTAAAGCCCACCCAGGTCGAGCCCCATACCACAGACAGGGACACCTTCCACTAGAGCAGCTTGCTCCAAGCCCCTGTGTCCAACCTGGCCTTGAACACTGCCAGGGATGCGGCAGCCACAGCTTCTCCGGGCACCCTGTGCCAGCGCCTCAGCACCCTCACAGCAAAGAGCTTCTGCCTCAGAGCTCATCTCAGTTTCCCCTCGGGCAGGTTAAAGCCATTCCCCTTGGCCTGTCCCTACAGGCCCTTGTCCAAAGCCCCTCTCCAGGTTTTTTGTAGCCCCTTTAGGCATTGGAAGCTGCTCTGAGTTTCCCAGTGTGGGCAAACCAAGCTCAGCAGTTGGTGCTGACTCACGCAAGTAAAAGAGCAGATGAGGAAGCAGAAAGGAACAAAGAAAGAACAAGAAAGAAACATCTTCCCCAGTGCAGGGGCCAGGCGATGGGGGGGGGCTCAGCTAGGTGAGGTGCATGTGAAAGGGCCGGAGCCCAGCACCACAACCACCTCTCAGCCCTGGGCCAACATGGTTCCCCTGTGACACTGATCCCTGAGATCAGAGACCTGGGGGCTGGGTGGGAAGCATGGTGTGCAGTTACAGTGGCGTTACAACTCACACATTAAATACCCTTATGGTGTTTCTTAATCAGAGTATCTAGCTCTGCACCTGCGAGGTATGTGCGCTACACAACTGCACGGTGTGGGTAGTGCTCTGCAATTGGAAATGTGGCAGCAATTGTGAAACCATGGAATTGCTCAGGTTCAAAGAGACCTTTAAGATTATCCAGTCCAACTGTTAACCCAGCACTGCCAAGGCCACCACTAAACCATGTCACTAAGTGCCACATCTATATGGCAGTGAAACACTTCCAGGGATGGTGACTCCACCACTGCCCTGGGCAACCTGTTCCAGTGCTTGACAACCCTTTCAGGAAAGAAATTGTTCCTAATCTCCAGTCTAAGCCTTCCCTGGTACAGCTTGAGGCCGTTTCCTCTTGTCCTATGACTTGGTACTTGGGAGAGGAGACCAACCCCCACCTCACAACCTCCTTTCAGGTAGTAGAATCATTGCAGTATAGACCTTAAATTCTGGCCAGGGCCTAGAAAAGTCTGGGAAATTCAAGTGTTAAACATGCATCGTAGAGCAGAGGAACTTCTGGCAGATCCCACGATTATAGAGTTGATAATATAGAAAGGGGTATTTGCACACCTACCCCACCACCACCCAAATCATGTACATGGACTTGGAAATAGAGATCACACACTACCTCAGAAGAATTTGTCACAGCAAGGATTAATAAGATTAAGAGATTCAGGTAGAAGTAGAGCTATGTACCCAGGGATTCAGGATTCTGTCTTCAAACAGTAGTTTACAAGATATATTTGTCACCAAACATGTAAAAAAAAAACTTCCTTTGCAGGAGTACCATCCTCATTGCTGCATCCAGTATCAGTCGTGTTGGCTTAAGAGGGAATGAGCACCGTGCTAACGAAGTCCATGTTTAAGAAAAGATGAAACCTGCCCCGTGTGGGGAGAGTCTGCTCTGATTTCATGTGTGGCTCCAGCCATGTCCTGCCACCAACTAAAATCATGGAACCACAGCCTGCTTTGGGTTGGAAGGGAGCTTAAAGCTTATGCAGTTCCAACCCCCTGCCATGAGCAGGAACACCTTCCCCAGAGCAGGTTGCTCAAAGCCCCTGTGTCCAATGTGGCCTTGAACACTGCCAGGGATGGGGCAGCCACAGCTTCTCTGGGCAACCTGTGAGAGTGCGCCACACCCTCACAGAGTGCATCACCACCCTCTTCTGCCTAAAATCTCACCTCAGTCTCCCCTCTGGCAGGTTAAAGCCATCAATCAGCCTTCACAACATGCCTGGCTACTTCTGGGAGAAAGAAAAACATCCCAAAATCTATGTTTTTGGAGGCACATCTGAAAGACACCCAGAGGACAATAGGCTGTCACACAGGTGCTAGAACACACCAGCAGGGAACAGGCAATGCAGTTTTGGACAGCATACAGGAAAGCATAACGATACAGGTGAGGGCAGTGAGCATCTGCCTTGCATTTGCAACAAGAGTGATAAATGGAAAAGAACTCAAAGAGACTCGACTGAAGGAACCAGAAGGCTGGAAGTGTTTGAAAGGAAAAGGAAAGAAATACTGACTATTCTAGGTACAGTGGAATTAGTAAACAAAGCAGGAAGGCATTAGTGATCTGTAAATATTTGAATGAAGTAAGTGGGAGGAAGACTGGTGATACGTTAATGAGTTTAATGGGGTGGAATTAAGAAAGGGCATGTTTAAGCTGAAAATCAGGGTGGAAAGCTTTTAAACAGAGAATCATAGGCTGAAAAATTGTCTCCCTAAGGGAAGTGGTGAAAGCTTTATTGCCTGAGAGTTTATATGCCAGATTAGGAGAAACACCATGGAACTCATTCTGAATTTTCAGGGAGATGGATTGAAAGATTAGGAAGGGAGGAGAAAAGACAGTGGTGGTGCTGGCTCTAACAATACAGGAGTACAGCTCAGTGCCTTTTGTAGCCTGCTTTTGCTCTGCTATATCATTCTCTATCAACATCTGCCAAGAGTGAAATGATTTCAGTGTTAGTTACGTCATTGAAGAAGCAATAAGAACTTCTCTGTCTGAGAAAGGGGAGTCTCAGTGGGATATCTCTAGGGAGGATCACCGGAAAAGGGAGTGGCAGAAGCTCCTTCAGGCTTGAGCTTCCAAGGGGTGGTCACCACCACCACTTGCCACCACCTCTCTCCACAGCTTTGTCAAAGACAATGGGAAGAAATTAACTCAAAGTAGAGGCAGGAGTGACCCAGAACCATGTTGTGGTGTCAAAGTAAAAGCTTTTTGAGAAAGTGCTTTGGCTCTAAGGGCTTCCAGGCTGGCTACCCTCTGCAGCAGTTGGCAAGAGGAGTGGAGTTCCTTCATCCCTCTCCCATCTCTTCCCCAGCCCCAGGCTGAAAGTTTCCCTCCAGCTCCAGACTGGGAGAATGTCTTTTCATGAGCCCAATCCTGAGCATCTAACAGCAACATCTGTAGGCACACTACTGAGCATCCTCTGCAGAAGGAATATATAGAAACTTCACCTTCACAGTAACATTTAAACAATGCCTGTTTTCCAATGGGCCACGGGCTGCCAAGCATTTGAAATCATAAATGGGCTGCTGAAACCTGGCCAAGCCATCACCCAGGTTCCTCCAGAGGGGGGACCACGAGGAAGGACACTGAGGGGTTCATCGTCCCCAAGCCACAGCCTTTGTGTCTCCTGGGGAAGGAAGAGAGATAAAACTTTCCTTACTGCTGGGTTTCAGCAGCCAATATTGCCTAATCAAGCAGCTGCACTGCTCAATGAGCATGAAAGGCATATTTAGTAAGCAGCTAGAGGAAGCATTTATTAGATTAAGTGGTGGCTTTGGAGTTGGTTGGGGTTTTTTTTACTGGTGATTAGGTGGCTCAGAAAGGACGGTGCAATGCTGAATGACTTCAAGGCAGATGGAGGCAGCGCTGTATCTCCCACATAGGTGGTCCCCAGCAAAGAGAGAAGGAACCACAAGTTTTCCTTTAAACTTATTGGTAAAGCCTCTGCTTACACACTCATGGTGTTTTTTGTTTTCAGAAGAAATATTTCTGAATTGGAGAAGCAGAAATCCTCCCAGCCTGATACTGATGTTTTAATGAAGGAGAACATAAAAACCATTTCTAAAGCCTTTTGAAGTTACTTACAACAAACAGAAACTCACAATGAAGCATTTCCTGCAGCATGCAAGGGTGCATGGTCCAGGATTACTGTTATTTCACTGCTGACTCTGTAGTTTAAAACCACAAAGAATAGGTCAGAAATGAAAAATCTTCCTTAGACATGTAAGACTTATTCAGTACTAGATGGAGCTAAACCAAATCTGAAGTACACTTACAATTCAACATGTCACATTTTTTGCTGGTAAGTACCCAAACAGAAATGAATATTGAAAGAGTATTTGGACTGTTTTACTGGAGAAGTTACAAAATGCAACTTACTTTTAAAATAAATCTTGAAACTATTTTCTTAAATTGTATTTAATTACAAAGTCCCATATTAATATTCTGTGGCTACTAAAGGATTTATAGGAATGAAAAAATAAATAGAATGCTTTCAGTCAAAGGAAGATTGAAAAGCAACCACAATGAAATATTTGCAACAAATAAGAATATTCCTATAGTACTAGCCAAAATATGTAGCCAAAAAGAGATCCCATCCTCATAGAATCATAGAAAAGTTTGGGTTGGAAGGAACCTTCAAAGTCCATCTAGTCCAACCCCACTGCAATGAGCAGGGACATCTTCAACTAGATAAGGCTAATCAGAACTACATCCATCTTTTGATTCAATGCATTTTGAGTGAATAGATATATATTTCAGCTTAGTAGCCTTAAATTTGCTTAAGGTATTTTGCATTTTTCTAGCATTTAAGGTTTATGACTCTGGGTTTAGTATCTAAATGTTTTCTTTTAAATAAACACCCCTCACTTAGCTAGTATGTGGATGAATCTTAATTTCTCTAAAGCTGTTACTATTTTGCACATTGTCCTGGTAAGAGCATTATGTCACTGTGTGGTAAAAGAAATAAATTTACACTCAGGGTTGACCAGTTTTCATGTCTAGTGTATAATTTTAACTCTTTTTTTTTTCCTTTTCAGGTGGAATTTGGATACCCATCTTTTCCTGGAGGAGGATTTGAGCATGTGGTGATAAAGCACGCACATCTTTTGTGCTTTGTTGATAAAACTGATGGTCTGCAGCTCCAGCCCCAGCACTCAGGAGCCCCACACAAAGCTCACAGTGAGCACAACTGCTCTCAGGCTGTGGATGTTAATAGACTCCAAGAGTCTCCAAGACTCTGTGGGTGTCTCCAGCAGTCAGGCTGTGAGTTGAGATTGGAGCAGCTGATGTAACCCAAAGTGAGGCCCTTCCAGGCACTCACTTGTGTGTCATTCTCAGCAGGGTGGTTATTTCATGATACATAACAGCCAAGGGGCCTGGCTGGCAGCCTCCCTCCAGCTCTGCTGTGACCTCTATGGAAACACTCAACAGTTGACAGGGCAGAGAGTGAAGCCCAAAATCAGCGTCTCAGCAGATCGCTCAGGCTGGTGTGCTCCTGTGAGGGATTCCTGGCATCCCATCCCTGAGCTGGACAACACCGAGGGAGGACATCTCTGTTGGCCCTGCAGGGCATTTAGCCCATGTAAACACTACCTGAAGAACTGAGCAGCCTCACTGGCAGCCCACTGGCTGCACAAATCTTGCCTGACTCCATTTCCATCAAAAGGTGCGCTTTTGACCCAACAACTGGCCTCATATTTATGCTGCATGTGCTGCAGATGGCTCGTTTGTGACACACAGCTTGAGCGCAGCTGCTGGGTGGTTTGTTTTGTGGGTTTTTTTCATTCCCTGCCTTTCCAGTGCTAGGAAGCGACAAGTGGTGATGTTTGGAGAGCTCTTGAGTGAGCCTGGCCCTGCCGCCGTCTGTATTCAGGCTCTTTGCCAATGAATGGGACACACAGCACTTGTGGTGCAGCTGCCCTGTGGGTACAGGGTGAGAATGCACCCCCCTGGTTTCACAGCCAGTGTGGTATTATGTGATGAAGTGGTGCTAAAGAAGAGCCCATAGTGCTGGGAAAGCCTCCCAAACCTCAAGCTGTGGCTACACGTGTGTGATGAAAAGCCTTCGTCTGATGTTAGCTGAGTAAGACCGAAGATTCTCATTGAAAAGCAGGGCTGAAAGCATCCTCAAGCCCTCATCTAATCCATCTTTGTATCCTAAGGCATGATCCTTGCAGTATAAACACTTAAGCAGCACATTTCTAATCTGCTCTTAAAGGTCTCCAGTGATTAAGATTCCTTAATTGTCAGGCCATGACCTCCACTGCCTTACAATGGCTGTCTTGTTAAATCATTCTCTGACACAACTCAGCTATGTTCTGGTGCCTTCCAAGACTTCTTTTCCCTTCCACAACAGAAAGGTCAGATTATGCTGTTGCTCTTCACAGATTCACAGAATCAGAATAGTTAGGGTTGGAAAGGACCTTAAGATCATCTAGTTCCAACCCCCCTGCCATGGGCAGGGACACCTCACACTAAACCATATCACCCAAGGTCTCGTCCAACCTGGTCTTGAACACTGCCAGGGATGAAGCATTCACAACCTCCCTGGGCAACCTATTCCAGTGCCTCACCACCCTAACAGGAAAGAATTTCCTCCTTATATCTAATCTAAACTTCCCCTATTTAAGTTTTAACCCGTTACCCCTTGTCCTATCACTACAGTCCCTAATGAAGAATCGCTCCCCAGCATCCCTATAGGCCCCCTTCAGATACTGGAAGGCTGCTCTGAGGTCTCCACGCAGCCTTCTCTTCTCCAGGCTGAACAGCCCCAACTTCCTCAGCCTGTCTTCATATGGGAAGTGCTCCAGTCCCCTGATCATCCTCATGGCCCTCCTCTGGACTTGTTCCAACAGTTCCATGTCCTTTTTATGTTGAGGACACCAGAACTGCACACAATACTCCAGGTGAGGTCTCACAAGAGCAGAGTAAAGTGGCAGGATCACTTCCTTT